AGATTGCTATTGTTAGTTCCGGGTAATTCTATCGGCGCTCCGCCATCTTTCGTTAACGCAATCAAATCAAATGTTTTGATATGTTCAACACGCGATACAGCGGCTATATACGAGATACCAGAAATTAGCCAACCAAATTTCGTTCTTTCACAGCACTTCAAAAAAAAAAAGTTTGCCAAACAAAATATTATCGGAACATTCAAGGAATACAAGGACTTCCACAAAGTAATGGTACCTTTTTACCGTGTAAAAATAAATTTTCTTTTCATTTATGAAACTGACAATCGATAAGCAGTATATAGCCATATTCTTATTAATTCTCCTCTTATTTGATCTTTAAGCTCACCTGTCGATTTTTTATAAATTTGTCATGAAACGACTTTTTCACCATATAAGCACCAGTTGCAGCACCATTTTCAATACGATATACGAATGAAAGATCCACATCACGACTTTTAACAGCTAGAAATAACCAGAAACTGCTACCAATGATTTTGATATTTTTTACGATAAAGAAAAATTAAAGATATGGTCGAAGGTAACTTCTAATGACTTGTTCTATTTCACCGACAAATTACCATTCCACAAAAAAACAAGTAAGGTCTTAATGTGCTACAATTCATGTAAAATCCATTATCTAATGGTACTTATAAGCAGAATTACTAGAATGTATGGTCATTTGAACAATCCAGCTTCATATGCTCATGCACCCGTCATTCAAAAAGTTGACGATCGAGCTAACAATTAAGTTAGCTTAGGTATTCAAAATTTCAAAAATCTGAACAGTTAAATCATTTGCAACACACACGTAGAAAATTTAGAGAAGTGAAGATTTACTGTTCTCATTGAGCGTAAGAATGAAACTTGCACTGCTGTCTTTCAAGAAGTGTGGCAATAGCTGCGCAAGGAAATACAAAAAACCGGGTAACAAAATCATATCTTCTTCAATAACAATTAGGCATGGCGCATGTGGAAACAGAGTCATCATGTGATCGATGCCTTCCAGCACGAAATCTGTAAACACTAGTCGGATATTCTGACCAAAAATTTTTGGGAAAAATATTTTAAAAAAATATAGGAAAGCTTACAATACCATTATAGGAAGCGGAGTTGTTGACTGGCAAAGCTCTAACATGAAATAATGCACTCAAATCTGATATTTCACCATAAATAGAATCAAATGCAACAACAACATTTTGAGGATTAATACCGTCCTGATCGTAAATGCTTTCCAAGCATAACCGTATGTTATTCATATTCAAACCTGTAATAGTGTAATATCAATTCAAACTTCCCTGAAGAAAGGGCTCGATAATCAAAATTCTTAACCTGCTTACATTTTTTGGATTATCCTGTCATAAATAGCTACTCCTGTAACATAAAAAGAATTTGAAAAATACCAAAAACATGAGTCACAAATAACAAACCTCCAGCAAGTAATATTGGAATCGAATAAATGGGATCAGTGGATGGCAAACGAGTCTGACTACTACGTGGTACTAACGGAATATCGAGACGGCTTTCTGAAAACAAAAATATCGAAAAACCCCGAAATCCCATTAATTTCATTCTTTAGTCATATCAATTCCAGCTCTACTATCATAAAGTGGAACGATTTAAACAAGCTTTAAACTAATGCAAGCATCTAAACAAAGCTACAATCACAACAGATAATTTATTACCAGAAGGAATAGTCAAAAGTACAAGGTGTAACAGATGCTTATAAGTTACCTCGGAAGACAAAATATATATAATGCAATATAAATTAGTTAATTAAATGCAGAATGAAAGCAAAAGTATATAAATGGTGATAAAAGTATACAAAACCATCACATAATACGTAAAGAAAAAAAATAACATAAAATAATGTAAATTATTTTATGTTATTTTACGTAATCATAACGTAAACGAACCGTCACAAAAGTCTTCATAACCATCATACCGAGAACAAAAATGTCTTCGGAGCATATTTTGCGCCTTTGGCAAACGATTTTTTATTGTTTTGAGTCCATCCACTAAAAATTTCTTCTTAAAACTGCAAAATAAACTGATACCTTACTTAAAATATTATGGAATTAATTGAACCTACACACTGAGGGCACACAAACGGTTTGTCTAATTGGTTTAGCCCAGTCACTGCCAGACGGTAAATTCATATCCTCGAATGGTGTGTAGCCAACAATTCCTTTCTGGCCAATAAAATACCATGAAGCACGAAATTTCAGGCGATATATAAGGCTTGAGCCTAACTCGTAGAAAATATGTTTTGCCATGTCTGATAAACTGAAAAAAAAAAACTAACATACTGTTTCTCTTTTTTGATGATAATCTAGAAACTACTGGTAAAAAAAGAAACAACTAACAAACCTGTTCGATGCTTCATCAAAACTGATTACGGCCACAATCTCTCCGGGTGAGAGTTGCTCCAAAAACAAAACTAAAGCCGAACTATCTATAAAGGGTTAAATTGATTAGTAGTGTGAATATTGCTTCCATTGCTTTGTGCATAGTTCTTAATAGCATCAAATTATATCACTAAAATTGACTAGAAACGTCACAATGTTATTAGTCTACTTTCGCTAGAAATACAAAGCTAACACAACAAAAGTTTTGGCAATCAACATGAATAACGTTCCACAACAAAAGTTGTGTACCTTCAAGGTAAGTGTCATAGTGTCCAGTACGCATTACTTGATGAGTTTTAGAATCAATTACAACCAAATTCAACCCACGACCAGCAGAATTCAGATCTCGATCTATTATTCTGCAATCATTATTTCATACATTCGATGAATAGACTAATAAGAGAAGAATGAATAGCATCACTGAATTCATTGAGTGACTTAACTGAATTCATGCAGAATTCTAATACCCGAATAATGATGACGAGCAATAAATGAAGAGAATTCGAGTAATGAAGTATGCTATATGTAAGTTAAAACAAGGAAAAGCCGAGTAATAAGGCACCACATAATAGTTTTTCTCTTTAAATGTAAATACTAGAAGGTCTTGTCAAAAATACTACACTTACAATCTTCCATTAACACACAACTGAGGCGAATCATCTTTGTCTTTTCCCGAATAAAAAAGCATCGGAATTTCATCTAAAAATCAGTTTACTATCACGTTATTTCCTCATATCCAAAATGACTAAAATTATTCGTAATTTTGACTTAAAATGATACCATCCCTTCTCGACGAGATTCATTATCTGTTGTCACTCTACTTGTCACCCTTTGCTGAGATTCAGCCGTTATGTCATTTTAAACAAATACCGTACTAACAGTTATAGATGAGACCCCACTGCGAGTAAAAAAAAAGCTTTGCAGGATTACTTCAGGATTTAACTTAAGATTTACCCAATAAACAAAATATAAGGCAAAACACTTAACACACAAATTATATCACTATTCACTGCATCAAAATATGCTCCTGCGAAAATGAACTTTTAATTGACAAAAAAAAACGGACCTTCCGGACAATTCTCTGAATGACCGCAGTTAGGTAATTCTTCACCCAATTTCACATTCATTTTCTGCCCTTTTACAGCTGATAACTGAGCAACAACATGTTCGTCGATATGATGTGCTTCTGGTACTCGTATCGTAACATTTGACAATTCTCCCACTGTAAACAAACAGATTTTCCTAAGAAACATTTAACAGGAATATAAACCTAATACCTGTTGCATGTTTTGTATGTAAAATCTGCTGCAACCATTCCATTCAATGCGGTATGATTCTGCCCTGTCATTGTATGCAAATCTTATTGATACGAGAATAACAACTCGATTACTCGGATAAGTACACATTATAGTAGAACTGTGAAACTACAGACTTCAAACTATACAGCACTAATTTTGATTAATTGGTAAATGGTCCAAATGAATCCAAATTTGGAAATTTTCTATAATGCAGCGGAACTTCTACATAAACAACTTTAAAGATAATTGATATAATTTTTAAAAAACCAGAAGTGTAACATACTCGGTGTTTTCAAACATCTGACATAATATTTCGGCTCTACTATTTCCAGTGAAACGACCTTTAAAAAAATATAGGAAAAAGAAGAAATGAATGTTCGATGAAGTTTTATTCAGAATTACTGTTAGAAAAATCACTGATTTCAAAAAATTAATAAAAATTCGTAGTTAATAAAGAATAACAGCGAATATTTCAACCTTTTCAAAAGCTGCTGGAAATGATAGACCTAACTGCCCCACAAAAAGTAGGCTGCTCTCTGTTTTGTACCGCGCAAGTGATAGACCGAACAAACGCAATAACTGCCGCGTTTCAGCTGAGATCCTGCATTGCTTATTTAGAGTTATTATTCTACAATAAAAAGATACCACACTTGCAATTTCCCGAATTTGAAAAGTGAAAAATACTCCATCCTTCTACAAAAATCTGAATCTCATCTTGTTGCAGGAATGGTCATCTGGAGTTGGCTTGCATTTGGATTGGTCCAAACGACAAATCAAGATACAGATTAACAACAATATAACTTGCGATCTTTTCCCCAGACGAACGTAAGGCTGTGGTTGGGATCAAGACTAAGAGATACACATTAACAAATCAAAGAATCATTGTTGGAAATATCTTGCTGGGAAACCTAAAAATTGAATTACTAACTACACTGAAAAACGAAAAACAAAAAAAGTACATACTTCGATGAAACGTCACCATATGATGTCCCCACAATAATTTCATAATTATGTACTTGTGCCAACAACTTTATAACAGAAAAATCACTATCTTGAACGCTTAAATAATGTACACCGACCACGTTTTTATCGTCTGCAGTATAAATTTTTTTTCACATTTTTCTAATACAAGCAGAGTCAATAACAGGCGCTTCTTTTCACCAATGAAATTTCTGCAGATTTAAGATTCATTTAAGCAACCAGAAATATAATCACTAGGCTTCCTTTTTTGATTTTAAACTATGCACCTATTTGAACTCAAGAAAAATCAGTAGCAGCAGTACACTGTTCAAATAAACAGGATAAAATGCTGCCACTAATTATCATACTCGTTACTGAGGGCAAGTTGGAAAAAAATTTCTTTCAATAGACTAGAGACTGATACTTTATCACTGTCAAATAACAGTTTGGATAAATATAAAAGCCAAAAAATGCAAAGATCAGTTAAATAAAGCTTTGGAGAAAAAAAAATAAAGACTTACTACTCAAAATAGCGATATTTAATCCTCTAGCCAATTTCGAACTATCGAACAATCTGAAAAACAAAATCATCAATGAGTTTTTTATGTAAAAAAATGTGAAATCGTATATTCACACATATGTTTTACATTATTTTCAATTCAGCATACAATGGACTAATTTCAAAAGGACAACTTTCTCGAAAAATAAAAACCTCTTATTATTCAAACAAAGTAATGGAGGTTTCGTTCGACTTTCCGGTCTTAGCAGAACTGTCACCTCGTCTTTTGGACAATAAGCTTTTCTCATGCATTCATTCTCTGCAACAGTAAAATTAAAGGATTGCATCAGCACTTCAAACTACACAATTTTATTCAATTTTATTAAGTCTTTTTAATAATAATACATAATAAGTACACATACCACCAATTTTAACGGGAACAATATTTCTTTGCAGCTGAGTCCAACCTATAAATATTTTCCATATTTTTCCAATATGTGATTCCACCTTTTGACAAATACATAATCAGTATGGAAATAAAAAACTTACTATTTCCATATCTGGATACATCGATGTTTCGAGTAATTATCCAAAAAGAAATGATCAAAATTAGCAAGAACAAAATCCGTTTTAACCAATTAAAGCGAAGCATTTTTCACTTTAAATTCGATCAATCTTTTTCTCTGTCTTTCATCAAATCTGAAAATGGAAAAATTCTTCACATATTAATTTTCCAGCAATCTCGTATTTTCTGAGGCAGAGAAATTCATATCTAACAACATACAAGCAGGAAGGACGGATACATATATCTTACAGATATTTATGTTTAATTCTTTGTTTACTATTTTCATAATATAAATGGTTTACCAACAAAATGATGTATATTTCTTTACATGCTGGAAAATGATATCTGTAATAGTTCTGTTAGGAAACTCCCAAAAATCGTGGAATGCCAGTTCATGCGTTTAATACTTGTCTGCAAAAAAGTCATTATCATCATTTGAATTTTAACATTACAGTTTTCACCATCAACCACACAAAGTTTAACAATATAGCTAGTCAGCGGTGGATACACGAGTACCTAGTAAACTAAAATAATTAATTATGGAGAAAAAGATCATTCATCCACAGAAAACACGCGTCAACAATAATTAGTTAATCATAATAGCAACCCGAAATTTCTGTAACATATAGAACCGTAAGCTTTGTTCGAAAAGAACTGCAAATGAAGTTTGTTACACAACTTATAAGAATAAACTCGGACTCGGAAATTAGACGTTTCAAAACAAAACAGTTTCGGAGGATTTGAAGATTTAGAGAATTACAAATAGCGATATCGAAGACGTTCTCATTAGTTTCAGAATATTTTGCAGACAATTCGATCATAAATTTTAATTAATCATATATTTCAGGTGTCCTTCACACTGAGCATGAATTTTAATTAAATTTATTTACTGAAGTGGTACAGTATGCATGAGGAAAAGTTAACAAAATCAAAACTTTATAATATGGTCATGTGTTATTTTGCTGTGACATTATTATGCAAATGCCCATAATCATGATAATACCGCCATATTTGCTCATAAAGAAAAAAGTAGCAGGATTTGTATATAAGCATTAAGTATAGATCGAGAATGGATAATGTTTTCGTGCGTGAATCACACGGACTGGTGGGATTTGTTAGGCAGCACATTGTAGATTGCATGAGTGAGTTGGTAGAATTACGCGTAAAGGGGAAATTCGCGCATGCAAGTGAAACCTGCGTAATTGCGCGTGTATTCGAGACCGCATGGTCGCGCGCGTAAACGGGACCGGGTATGGAGGCGCGAAAACGAGACCTGTATGGACGCGCGCGAGAGTGAGACCAGTATGGACGCGCGCAAGAGTGAGACCAGTATGGACGCGTGCGAGAGCGAGATTTGTATTGACGCGCGCGAAAGCGAGACCTGTATGGAGGATGCAAAGGCGGGACCTGTGTGACTGCGCGCGAAAGCGAGATCTGTATTGATGCGCGCGAGAGCGAGACCTGTATGGAGGATGTGAAGGCGAGACCTGTGTAGACGCACGCGAAAGCGAGATCTGTATGGAAAAATGTGAAGACGAGTGAGAGCGAGACCTGTATGGAGGCGTGCGAGAGTGAGGCCTGTATGGAGGCGCGAAAGCGAGACCTGTGTGATTGCGCGCGAACGCGAGATCTGTGTTGACGCACGCGAAAGCAAGATCTGTATGGAAAAATGTGAAGACGAGTGAGAGCGAGACCTGTATGGAGG